AAAAAGTCAGTCTTTTCAATCGATGCTTGTGGACAATGCTCGATTCTATTTGTCTGTAATGAATTTGCCGCGCTTGTTGTATTGATAAAACCTCCCTTTAACGTGCTCAGGTTTACTGAGAAGGATTACTGAAGACGGTAATCATACTCTGATATGAAAAGTTTCACAGTTCTTTCGCAATCCTTCGTCAAAAGGTTTTGAGTCTCTCGTGATAAATATTCTGGGATCCCACGTGGTTTTCACACAGTTAATCATACTCATCACCCATCAAATCATGGGAATCATATCAGAGCAGTCAGCCTTGTCTTTCGCACAGTAGATAGTCGCTACAAAAGTTAAAGGAATCATTCACGGAAAAATCATGATTCTATTTCAGCCATAAATCACTGGCTTGAGACTCATTATCCACGATAAGAATGAAAAGAACAGAAATATTGCTTTGTTTTGATAAAAAAATTCGAAATCGCGCGCTTTAACCCGATTCTTTCATTGCGTCGCCTGATACGTAGCCGGCCAAAGGCCAACTTCTTTCCATGCCTCGCCTTTGGCTCCGCCCGAATTACCTTCGATGTCCATAGAGTGTAGTTTTTGTACGTTTGTTTCTCTTCGGAAACCGAATCTTCATGCGTGAAACTTTGTGTGCTGTTTCCAGTGATCACAACTGACACATTCATGTTAGAAAGAATGCAAGAATTTTCCGCGAAGGATTCCTTTAATTCAGGTGATGGAAATTCACGCTAGACGTAAAATGGCTCAATTAGAAGCTGGACGACAACTGAGAGAGCTCGAAGGCAGTTGGGTAGCTATGGTCACCAACAACTATAGGTGAGCGGTCATCTTTTGGTTGTACATGAACTGGAGAAGCACTGATCTTGAGTTCAATCACGACGGTTGTAATATTGGCTTCAATATTTCAAAAATCATCAAATCTATGCATAGGACGGGTGTGTGGTGCACTCTAGAGATATTTACCGTCAGCTAATTTGGTTTATCACTGTGGACTAACTGACTGATTTCAGAATGGAACTTGCTAACAATCAGCTGGCAGCTGAAAATGCTCAAATGGCAAAAAGGCTACGGCTTGATCCAGCAGCAATTGATAAGCTTAACTGATTTTTAATTCGTATGGTCTTGTGTTGTTAATGCAGTTGTTATTCAGTCCAAATTGCTGATTATGTCTGTGTTCGATGGATATCTGTTGCTGATAAAGCTAAGCGGACAAAGGTGGTTTGATCCAGAAGGCTTGATGGATTTATGCCATCGTTTATTTTGCATGATCGTTCCTCCCTTGTTGTTTTCCACTAATTCCTAGTCGGGATGTTATGGCACTGAGATGCTAGGTTCAATTACCTACACTCTTACGCATCTAAGAGGCATTTTTGCATTTTTTCCCCGGTAATGTGTGAGACTTTCGTATCCCTGCATCAATATCTCTGTCGATCAGAGTCGTCTTTCGACCCTCATCAGAAAAAGTTTTAAGAAACGGATATCAGAGCATGTGAGATGCAAACTCCATATTTCCGAATCTTCACCAGTTTATGGAAATGTCTCAGTATTGTCAACTGTCGCATCAGAAGCGCTCTGGCAAATAATGTATTGCTAGTCAGATCCCTTTCCGGATAGAGCTTCAAGGTTGTCAGTCACGGGTTAGGAGTGCAGGATCTTCTCCAAATAAAAAAGCCAACCCTGAATAGAATGAACTATCGGTGCAGTATGGGGCGTTGAGGGCGTACGCCCTCGAATATCCCCTGGTAGATTCACTATTTTGTTTGGCGTTTGGAAGAGCTCAATCGGCAATGTGAAGAACGAAGCTCAGAAATAGGCTTTGAAAAAAAGTGAAAAAAAGAAAAAGCTGCAGAAGGCGGCGTGTAAATGATCCGTAATGTTCAGGTAGGTAGGTGTGCTACCTCGCGAAACTTGTCTCACGCCTTCGTCATCTTCTCGGATTCGTCATCTTCTAGGGGCTTTTCAGCGATAAATGTAAAGTGATTCACAAATTATGGGACACGCTGATACTGTACTTTGTGGGTGAAGTAAAGTGTGGAGGTTGAAATTGTAATAAGATGTTGGTCGCGTAGAAATTGTTCTACCGTTTGACTTCCAAAGTAGTTAGAGATGGTTTTTCCCCAGCTGGACGTCAAGAGGTCAGGAAGGGAATGAGGCCAAGTATTCTGTTCGAGCTTTCCTTTGTTTTGTGTGAACTCAGTAAAAGCTAGGCAAGACGGTAAAATTGCCGCAGTTCATTTGAGTTTTCTTTTTCCTTTCCTGTAAGACAGGGCAGTGCAGCTCTAGAGCATCCCTATGTTGAACGACGTTTCTTTGAGATGGAACAATTAGCAATCGAGAAAATGATGTTTTGAACTTTTATACCAGCAGAAAAAAATCACTGCAAAAATTTAACTGTAAACCTATAATTGGTGCTTCTGCGTCAGATTGGTTTTTGATGTTGGAATTTTTATTACCCTGCGGTTTTTAAACAATCATCGTTTACAAAGGCCTGGAAGCATTTCGGAACTTCCTGCAATGATGCCATCTTCTTCAGTGCAGGCCTGACTTTAGCCACTATCACGACGCAGCTCTGTGAACCAATTATGGTCTCGAAATCCTTCCAAACCGTTGAAACGACGAGTTTGTCGAGAGATCTAGCGTGAGACCTTTTTTTTCGCAAAAAAGAATTCAACGCATGAAAATCGCTTTTCATAGTGTGTTAAATAGTACCCAAACCCGCTTGTGCGGTGATGAATCTACCAGGTCAGAAAATGACTTTGCATTCTCAATTAAGTATGGGCCAAGAGAAATAGAAGCTGGTCAAATAAAAATAGAGTTGTTGAGCAGAGTCAAGTTTTCATCCAATGTAGGCCATTATAGTAGTTTGGCTCTGCACATTCACGCGTGCGTCACCCGAGGATCCAGCGGTATTAAAAAGGTCAATTAAGACGCTAGTTCTGACCCTACCCACCTAGGGTGTAATTCGCATCAATCATGAGTCGTGCCTTCCTCGTGACACTCATTTATCCGTTTTTCCGGTTTTCGGGCACGAAACTTTACTGCGAATTTTGATTTGAGAATCCGCCCACCTTGAGTGCAGTTCCACCATTAACGGCGAAACGCTCCTGTAACACGATGGTCCCACGTGCGGGTTTTTTTCGTTCCGGGGACCGCGAGTCGATTTTGCAGCGCCGTCCGGCTGTCTTCTGGAGATGTGTATGAATAATTAAAAAGGATAAAGGATAAAGCATTTGCCGTTGATCAATCCCTTTTTGGGATGCGGCACGCATTCTACTTCCATTTGTACATTCGCAGTGGCATTTGAATGCGATGTGGCCTATACAATGACTTGCGGGGCCAGCCGATGTACAAGTCAGTGTTTTTATCCTCCCAGACAAGTCTGGTACCAATTAACCGACCCCGGAGGGATGGAAGGCTTGGTTGGCCCGGGCGACTCACGACCCAGGATTTGATCCCCGGACCGCTCGCGTGGTAAGCGTGCCACTTGCCACTACACCACTTCCGCCTACGCAATACTTGGATGCGATAAAATGTCCTAAAAGATACGAATGTCATCAAGTTATTGTTAGGTACAGAACGTGTTACGGCCATGAAAGGACAGAATTTGGTTGTCCTGGCTGTCAAAGGACCTCAAAAGTATTTTTGACGCGGTTGTTTTACTAAACGCATACATCTTATTAATGTATAGGTCTGTATTTACTTCCATTACTCTTTTCACATGTTTTTAACATATTTATGGGAATCTGAAGAAAGCCAGGAACCGAAGTGACAAATTTGTAGAACTTGGAGAACTTTTGCTAAGGTGAAGCCTTGTTGAGTTTGACCACTTAGGAAACCTCACCGTTTCTAGATGTATGACTGTAGAATGGTCTATAGAACAAAATAAAAATAAAGAAGTAGTGCAAGCGCGAAAAAATAAATGATTCGGGTGCGAAGGTGCGCCTCGCGCTTTCGTCAACGTATTACTTCGCCAACTTCTGTACACTTCTTTCCCGTTATCGGAGCTGTCTCTGAACCGAATAATAATAATTCGTGCGAACTCCGCCCATTTTGGTGCCTGTCCCAACCATCGATGACAGTTGACCTACCTTCCTTCACCAACCTTTACCCCCTTCTTTCCTGGTCTCTGGGACCTTCGGTGCCGAATGTAAAATTTCGTGGCAAACTGCGCCCACCTCGGTGCACGTTCCACCCACCACTAGTATTTGAGCCACCTTAGTTTGCCAATTTCCGTCCACTTTTTCCGCGATTTCTGAGACTTTTCACACCTAAATATTTCAGTGAAATTTTATGGCAAAATCCGCTCTTCTTTGCGGACATCCTACCCACTAACAGCAGTTACCCTCCCTTCTTTCGTTGCCCTCCGTCCACTTTTTCACGTTTCCAGGGCTTCTCTGAAGCGAAGGGGGAGGAAACACCGCCCACGTAAGGACAAGCTCCACCCACAGTGAGCGAGATTTCGTTTAGTTCAGTTGCTGAAAACACCTCAAACATTGCCCTTATGCAACGATTTTTTCTCTGTGTAGGATCTCCCAGCCAAGTGATTTTTTTTCATTAAGCACCTATTTAGTTAACGCTGCCCTAACGCTTCCCCTCCGCCGCGAGCGGGTCTTTCTAATTCTACCTAGCAGTTCAGTGCAAATTTTTATAGATTTTCCAAGGATGTTTTCTTCGGACTGTTCTAGAACGAACTCGTAACTTTTGCCGTTGCACCACCCGATGCGTGCCCAGCCCCGTGTGGACGGAGCTCCGCTCCAGCTGATGTGTGACTTTGTACTTGTTGACCTACTCCTCACCCGTATCAGACTTTAACCGACCTCTCCAGGTGGTTCATTAGGTAGTACAGAATTCCGAATAAACAGACAGACAACAGCGCGGGAAGCGCTTTAGCCTAACAGGGATGTTTTATAAACGTGTCACAGGTACCGCAATTAAGACCGTGCAGCCAGCTGTTCAGTTTTACATGACAGATAGCTGCATTTTTGCCAAGTAAAGATGCAGCATAAAAGCATAGAAAGAACGACCAAGTCGAAGGAATGTGTGCATCTATCAGTCAGATATCCTTCGAAATTCTTCAGTTCAGAGGTGCATCCGACCGAGGCTGTGTTTGAGATGGAAACGATAATGGGCTCACTGCGATCTGATTAACAGTTCTCGCCTACGTCAAAACAATGTAAGTGGCTTCTATAAAATTTTGTGGTTCATGTTGTCCATTTGTGGTGTCTCTGATAAACTGATATCGGTGTTATGCAAGTAGGGTGGGCACGCCGCATTTTTTGAACAGAAATGTATGTAAGTGGGACTGCTGCCCGCTACTATACTGTCACGAGAATCGGGGAATTCGTGAGCCAGGGGAGTGTAGCCAATCTAGGGGGGGGGGGGTGAGGGCAGTCACTTGACATGCGTGAAAAGCTGGGCGTGCCCACCCACTTGTATAGAGCCCTGATATCTATGGATGGACAAATTAGCCCAAAGTTTTATAGTCTTTCTTAAGACCTCCCAAAGTTTTGAGCCTCTGACATTATCTTCATTGTTAGCTGTTTGTTTCAGTCGCTTCGCGCGCAGCTACTCCTTTTATTTGTTTGTTCTGTAGAACGTCAATGATCAACAGGCTGAACCCACTGTTCAAAATCGTGTAATTGATTGCCAGAAGGCCTTCGCAGGTCTTCACATTCACTCACTCAATTACTGATCCGCTTTTGTCCAAAAATTTTGAACTGTTGTGAAAATGGATGCGAGTAGAGAAGAAGTGGTATTACCGGGTTCCTTTTTATACTTTGTCTCCTTTCTTGTTCGGTGGCGTTGTGACAGTTGCCACCATTACTTGCACTTTTTCCAGCGGCCACTACAATATTGTAATTATTGCATGTGTGTGAGCGTTCCAACGCCCTTTACCACGCCCTTAGAACGTTTTTCTTGACGGTCTACGTGCCCAAGAGATAATGCGATTACACGGGAATGGGCGCGACTAAAATGTTGTAAAGTGCCCGTGCCGCTAGCTCTTGCGCTACATTTCTTTGCCGCATCGTGTCATCGAATCCTTTTTCGCTAATTTTTTTTCTGATATTGTGTACCTTCTTCCAATGTTTTTCATTTCTTGAACA